ATCTTAGTTGAACAAACTTCTTCCAGAACTTGACTACTAATATTTAGTTTGTTTAAGTGAATATTCTCTTCGATAAGAAAAAAATGCTTTTTTTTGTCAAACAATCATATTGTGAACCAGATAACTCAAAAACTAGGCAGTATCCTTTTTGAAAAAGTAGTCTATGTTAAAATCTGACTGCGACTGCTTTACATTCGTTAAAAATGGAGAAAGGGTGCCTTTTTAATTAGTTAACGTGAGAAAAGCAGGAAAATTTCTAGTGTATCGTTTTGCTTTCGTTGAAAAGAAAATAATCTTCATAACGCCGTAAAATTGATTATTTGGTTTGAAACGGATATATAAATACGTATATATGTTTCATTTCTTACGCATAGAACACTAACAGGCTTTATAAAAAATGTTTAGGAGGTTGAATAAAAAGATTTGTTGGTACAAAAGGATTAGCGACAGTATACGCACACTCTTGAGACACGGTGATAAGAAAGACGGAAAATGATGGTATCGGAACTGGCAACAGATGAAAAAAGTTTCTGCCCAAGCAGGAAACGTTCGGCCCACGTAGGCCTAACGATGTTTTTTGACTCTATGGAAAATGGCCCAAGAGTGTAAAAATCCTGGTTACGACCCTGTGGTACAGGGTGCCCTATAGAATACAGTAGATAAAAAAAATAATAACTAACCAACCCAAAAACTACTCAAGATTTATACGGATATCAAAAATCTGTCAAGATTCTGCTAATTAATCAATAACGAATTAATTGCTTTGTCAGAATCAGTTATATATCTTGATCAAGTTTTTTCATGACAGATTCTGTAACAAAACTTGTCGACAAATCTTGAACTGCAAGATGATCTCAGAATCTTAACAGATATCGATAAATCTGCATAAGATCTTGAAAGAGCAGAACAGAAACTTTAGAAATCTCTCAAGTTTGTATCAAGATCTGCAGTCAAGATTTTTTACTTGGGAATATATTTACGAAGAACAGATCCATATAAACTTCCAATTTTTCTGGTTTCAAGATTTTTCTATATATTCTAAAGATGAAAATTCTTAATCTTATAACCAAAGAAACAATAGGGATCGAATGCATCAGGCCACTCTGAAGAAAAGATTCTTTTGTAAAAGTTTCATTTGTAAACTGAATATTTATTCCTTGTTATTATTCTTCTGTTGTTTCTGCCGTCGCTGCCATATAGCATTATTACTTGTTGAAATATTGATTTCCTCGTCACTCGGCATTCCATTATATTTATTCGTTTCACAAATGGATGTTTCAACATTATCCCATTTTTGTAACTTATCCATAAGAACACGTGGTGTATCCAATGGTGTTTTTGGAACATGTGTGGAAAATTGATTATTTGGTTTGAAACGGATATATAAATACGTATATATGTTTCATTTCTTACGCATAGAACACTAACAGGCTTTATAAAAAATGTTTAGGAGGTTGAATAAAAAGATTTGTTGGTACAAAAGGATTAGCGACAGTATACGCACACTCTTGAGACACGGTGATAAGAAAGACGGAAAATGATGGTATCGGAACTGGCAACAGATGAAAAAAGTTTCTGCCCAAGCAGGAAACGTTCGGCCCACGTAGGCCTAACGATGTTTTTTGACTCTATGGAAAATGGCCCAAGAGTGTAAAAATCCTGGTTACGACCCTGTGGTACAGGGTGCCCTATAGAATACAGTAGATAAAAAAAATAATAACTAACCAACCCAAAAACTACTCAAGATTTATACGGATATCAAAAATCTGTCAAGATTCTGCTAATTAATCAATAACGAATTAATTGCTTTGTCAGAATCAGTTATATATCTTGATCAAGTTTTTTCATGACAGATTCTGTAACAAAACTTGTCGACAAATCTTGAACTGCAAGATGATCTCAGAATCTTAACAGATATCGATAAATCTGCATAAGATCTTGAAAGAGCAGAACAGAAACTTTAGAAATCTCTCAAGTTTGTATCAAGATCTGCAGTCAAGATTTTTTACTTGGGAATATATTTACGAAGAACAGATCCATATAAACTTCCAATTTTTCTGGTTTCAAGATTTTTCTATATATTCTAAAGATGAAAATTCTTAATCTTATAACCAAAGAAACAATAGGGATCGAATGCATCAGGCCACTCTGAAGAAAAGATTCTTTTGTAAAAGTTTCATTTGTAAACTGAATATTTATTCCTTGTTATTATTCTTCTGTTGTTTCTGCCGTCGCTGCCATATAGCATTATTACTTGTTGAAATATTGATTTCCTCGTCACTCGGCATTCCATTATATTTATTCGTTTCACAAATGGATGTTTCAACATTATCCCATTTTTGTAACTTATCCATAAGAACACGTGGTGTATCCAATGGTGTTTTTGGAACATGTGTGGTGAATTCAGATAACCATGAATTTTTCAATATTGTCTCAATATTTGGTCTCTTTTCGGGTTCTACTGTTAACATAGCTTGTATCAGATTTTTAGCTTCATCTGATACCATATACCAGTCCTCTTCTGGAAATTGATAGTCACCAGTGCAAATTTTAGTTTCCATACCGGGACTTATGGGTAAACTGTGGTTTGAACAAAACGGTGGGTAGCCGCATAACAGAATGTACATAATGACGCCCAAGCTCCAAATGTCACATGCCTAAAAGAAATAGGTAAACAATAGCGACGTAACTTTAGTCTTGTTCAACAAGAAATACCTTATCATAACTTGATTTGGATAACACTTCTGGCGCTACGTAATACGGGCTGTAACAAGGTGTTGTTAAATCTTTTGTTGAATCTGAGCATTCTTTAGCAAAACCAAAATCAGTCAGTTTTAATTCCGCATCTTCCTCGTTTGATGTAAATAATAAATTTTCTAGTTTTAAATCACGGTGTGCAACGTTCATCGAGTGCAAATGACTGACAGCTTTACATATTGAACGCATAATGCCAGCAGCTTGGTGTTCGGAAAATGAATTTTCGTGACCTATATCTTTTATTCGATCAAACAGTTCACCACCCTCCATACATTCCATAACAATGAATAAACATCGATGATCTGAATGTTCATTTTCATAAATATCTAGTACACGTACAATATTCGGATATGTGCTTGCTTTTTTGTGTAAAATAACTTCTTGTCTGGCTTTAGCTGAGTCTCGAATGATTTTTAGTGCACATTTTTGTACTCTTTGCCGATGAAAACATGTTAACACCTTACCGTTAACACCAACCCCTAGTGCTTCATTTCCTACCTCATAATCATCTGTAACAGCATTTAGTTTTGTTTCAAAGGGAAATGGTATCAGAGCTACAGTAGATGCCGAATTTGATGCCATAAATTTACCTTTTCACACACTGTCACGTAGGTTAAATCTGGTATTCACAAGATGTATTGTTTCCTCTTGTTCTGCTTAGATAAACAAATATAAATAATATATTTTTACCGTATAGGGAAAAAACCGAGAACGAAAGCAAGGAAGGAACAAAAGTTTCATTGTCACTTGTAGAACGCTGGAAAATGCCCAGTAATGTTTTTCTTTTTCCTTTCTGCAAATGTGGAAAAAAACCACTATCACATGAAAGGTATTACATCTTCAACCAAGTACTCCAAGATAATCTGCAGAAGACCCATTTATAATCCTGTCAGGATATAAGAGAAAAATGCGAGGATAACTAAGGCAGAGAAAAGTATGCACAGTGCAATATTGGACACAAACGTTGTTAACGGCTCTTTTACATTAACCAGCAAAATGAAACCCTTAGAAAAAAAATACAGCCCGATTTGGATATGCTTCCACTAGGCCTTACATGAGCTATCCCAATGCAACGCGAACAACAATCGAATTACTTGATATTTTTTCGTTGACTAGTGGACGTGGCAGAGAGTAACGAGATGATTTTGATCGTGTATATGCATCATCACTTACTAGACAATAAGAAGGACCCGAACTTTGCAACAATGAGACTTTACTTTTACATTCGATTTCAACAATTTGGTTGGTTATTGCTATTCACTGTTCACTCATGATGTTAATAGGTGGAACTGCTTTTTCCCTCTCGCTATTTCTTATACGTCTAAAAAGAAACATCAAAGTTATTTCAGCTGTTCTAAAGAGAATTCAAAATTTCATAGTTTAACAGATAAAACTGATTGTTTATCAAGTGAGATGATCCTTAACGTCCACGTCAGTAATCAAAATTATTATCAAGCGAACTTTTCGACCGCTGGAAAATGAAAGTTCTCCTAAAAATCTGAAATACATATTAGTGGATTCTATTTTTGCTGCTGATTCTGGAAATGATATTGGTTGTGTAAAAGAATGGGAGTTTGACGGCGAACCGCAAAATACGAGTGCATTTTCTTCGTTTTTTCTACATGTTGCGAAAAAGTTTATTTTCTCAACAACGAAATAATGCCGATGCTTAACTTTTTTCTACTATCGAAGGATTAAAATAAAATAAAAAAAGTTGGCTTCGTATTCCGAAGAAAAAACCAGAAAAGTTTGCAAAATATCTAAGAGGTCAATTGGTCAATTGGCAAGTTCCTGAAGCAAGAAAATTTCAATGATCACATCATATTTGAAGACTCTAAAGTGTATGTTTCTAGACTCAGTTTTGATGACAAATAAGAAAACATTAGTTTGGAAAATAGAAAGAATGATAAAAACAAACTAATCATGTATAAATATCACAAAAATAAAATACTCTCAAAGTTTGAATTTTCTGCGCCATAGACGTATAAGAAATAGCGAGAGGGAAAAAGCAGTTCCACAACTCCGGTGGTACCAAGTGGCTCTACATGAGCTCCACTCAGTTCCAGTCGCGAGGGAACCTCCCGAGGTGGTAAATCGCTTTTTGATCGACATCTAATGGGTTATAGGTTATCGACCATGCTGATTTCGAATATGACCATGGAGCTTCCCCATAGTTCTTCGAAGATCCAGTCTTCTGGAAAACCACTTTTTCAGAAACCCCAAAAGATAACCCAAGCCTTTCTTAATAATGCAGGATTGTAGCACGCAAATTTCTGATCAAAATGATACATCCCCCAGCTCTACACGACCTTTCTTTGCAAAATTATAGAATTTATAAGAAGAGCCCTAAATTAATTTTTTCCTTGTTATTTCGAATTTTCGTGTTGAAAAACGATCGAGATTTTCACCAAAAAATGAAAATCAGCTAAAAGTTTCGAAATACACATCATTCGACTCAATTTTTGATCCTGATTCCGGATATGATGTTTTTATTGCTTAAAACTTGAGTTCTGATAAAGAAAGCTGAGAATTACGGGCACAATTGAGAATTTTTCGCATCTTATTCAGAAAAAATGAATTTTCTCAGCAATGGAAAGGAATTTTAAAAAAAGCTCTCCATACTTTTAAAGCTTATCATTTGGGCTATCTAACAGTATGTGAATGGGAGACCTATCCCTTAACCCAAAAAACTAGATAGGTTTGCAAGCTGAGAGTATCGACCGCTGAGCTTAGCCAGTTCTGAGGTTAGCCAGTTCTGAGCTCAGCCGAAATTTCAGTTTTGACCAAACGTCATTAAAAGAGACCGTTCTAGAATCAGTTTTCAACGTAGAATTTGAAAATATTAATGAGAATAAGTAAAAACGTAAAGGGAAAAAATTATGAACCATTGTCTGAAAAAGAATAGTTTTTAGCTTTTTCAACCTCGTCTCAGTATTTCGCGATTTTCTTCACGAAGAAAAGGATTTTTGATGTTCGGAATGTGTTATTCGGAATTTGCGTCCAAAGACGAACCAGAATATGTATTAAAATCGAAAAAATAAAATTTACTTGAGTTTTGATCTAGCTGAACCTTAAGAAGAGCCCTAAATTGTTCATTGTCAGCTCAAAGCTACAGAAATAAGAAGGAAAAAATTAATTTAAGGCTCTTCTTATAAATTCTATAATTTTGCAAAGAAAGGTCGTGTAGAGCTGGGGGATGTATCATTTTGAT